TCCAGGGAGAGTATGGGATAGAGTTACAGATGTTGAATTGGTGAATTACCTTCTTGATAAGAAGGTTCTGCTATGAAGCAGAGGTTTGACAAGGGCTGAAGTTATGTTACTGTCTTCTCCCAAAGTCTAGGGGAGGCCCAGCAAAAAGAGGTGAGGCAAAGAGGTGCCAGCTGAAATCTCCCAGTGTCTCACCTGGGAATTTATTAATGTGGAGCTGGCTCCAGACAGACCTGGTTGATTTTATGAGACAGGCTAGCAAAGGCAAAGATGATGGCTCAATTTAAGGTGTCAGCCTTTGACATGTGTCATGCCAGGTTTCCTGTCAGGCTACCAGGGTGTGAGGCAGCTCTGCCAACCAGCTGCTGTGGGCTGATGGGGAGGCAGGAGCTCTCTGGGCCTGTGTCCAGATTCCTGCCGCATGACAGCTATCTGTGTGTCACTGCACTGAATTTGCTATTCATGGACTTTGCTTCTCCCCAGGGTCTGGTGGTCCCTGTGGTTAGGAATGTAGAAAACATGAACTTTGCTGACATAGAGCGTGCTATCTACGAGTTGGGGGAGAAGGTAAGGAAAATTTTCTGAAGGGGGTTTGGAGGAATGGAAATTGGAAGTTCTGGATCGTCATGTATTGATGTGGTCTCTGTGTCGTCATCTCTGACCTCTAACACACTGAGTTGTGCTGTGGGGAGTGATCCAGTTACATTGCTGGCTGTTCCTTTACGTTCTAGGACAGCTCTACTTGTTGCCCGTCCAGAAGACTGCAATCTGTGCATTAGTGACATGGTGCATCTTCACCTTTGTCTTTAGAGGCCAAGGCTGAACTGCCCTGGGGTAGAAGTCCATGTGTCTGTCTCCTGCAAAAGCAGGAGTTGGAAGCAAAGGCGAGAGAATCCTTCCCCAAAGCCAGTAGATGTTCACACTAAACACAGGCTGCATTTTTGAGCAATTTGTGCTGGTTTTCAGCTGAACAAATCAATAAGCAAAGCTCTTGCAATCAGTATTTATTCCTGGAGAGAGTGGATGTCCAAACCCTCGTTCTTTGCTCTCTGTGGTCTGTGTAGCTTTCTAAGACCTTATTTTTACTTCTAGGCACGGAAGAATGAACTGGCCATTGAAGACATGGATGGTGGCACTTTCACAATCAGCAATGGTGGAGTTTTTGGGTCACTCTTTGGAACACCTATCATTAACCCACCCCAGTCTGCCATCTTAGGCATGCATGCCATCTTTGACAGGCCTGTGGCTGTGGGAGGCAAGGTAGGTGGACCTGCACAGGAGGTTTTAGGGAACGAAGGATAGGGTTCAGCACACTGAGGACCTTTTTCTAAGGAGTTGGTGTCACTTCTGAAACACTTCAGTGTGAAGAAGGAGCAGAGACTAATGGGTATATGGCACCTTTGCTGGCCCTGGTACTTGGCCTGAGCTGTGCAGGGGACTTTGTTCTATCTGTGAGTGGGCAAACTGGTTATAATCTGCTTAGGTGTGGGAAGGAGGAAGTTGTAGCCTTTGTGATAGGGAACGGTTCCAGAAAGGGACCTTATCTTGTATGTGGCATGGACCCAGCCTGGGTGTGTGTAGGTAGATAATATTGCCAGGCAGAACACATCCAGGAGCACCTGCATGCAGGATTTGGGATGGGAAGAAGCCAGGTCTTCCCTGAATTCACAGGAGGGGACCATGCAGGCAGGGGCAGGAGTGCAAGCTCACTAATCCCCTGTCCCTCCTCAGATCGAGGTGCGGCCTATGATGTTCGTGGCGCTGACCTACGATCACCGGCTCATCGACGGCAGAGAGGCCGTGACCTTCCTGCGCAAGATCAAGGCAGCGGTGGAGGATCCCCGCGTGCTGCTGCTCGACCTGTAGGGCAGCCACACCCCCACACAACCCACCCAGGACAGGGCCGCAGCACCAGCAGGGACGATGCAGGGCATTCAGGAACTGGCAGGGGTCATTCCAGTCTTTCTTCCTCCGCTGTGATTGGAGCTGTCCCAGAGGGAATTACAGGGATAGCTCCTACCTCCTTTCCTATTTTGTTTAATGAAGGTTTAGTATCTCACAAGAACTGCCATGGCGTGGGCCAACCACTAATGGCACTGCCTTTCCAGAGCCATCTGTGTGGCATCCTCTCCCTCAGAGCACCAAACTCTCACCTCTAGCTTGTTCTATACCACTGGAAACTGCTTGCTGCTGCTGTGCTAGGGTACCCTTCCCTGCCCCTCCATGGCAGGTTCAGCTTTATTGCCTAGCACTAAGGTTCCTGGGAGGGAGAGGAGAGGAAAGGCTACTGTCCTGTCCATGTTTTGCTTGAAAATATTTCACACTCATCTGCCTTGCAAGGGTGGTGTGACCCCAAGGCCACTTGCAGGAAAAGTTTTGGTCAGAGCAGGGCTTGAGGTAGGTGTCATGCTTCTGGCAGTGCCCTAGTTACACTCCCTCCACAGACAGTAACACGGGGTGGCAGCTCCCCTACTTTCCCTTGGCAATTGTCTTTCACCAGCCCAGTCACTGTGGCGTGAATGTTCTTGTTGGGCGGGACCTGTGTGGAGGTAGCACTGTTCTGGGGACAGCCCTTTCACCATTGCCTGCCCGACACGGGGGTGAGAGGCAGCCCCTGCAGCTCTCCGTGCCGCCCAGCTCACTGGCGGTGGCTCTGCTGGCTTCCTGCGTGCGGGGGCTTGGCCTGCTCCCAGCCCACACGGCTGGGGGCCAGGCCTTTCACTGGAATGGGTATCCCAGCCCTCGGGTGCTGGTTCTGGGGGGAGGGGGGCAGTTCTTAATCTGATAGCGCACACATGAGTTGAGGGGTGAGGGGGTTGCTAGTGCCTGCAGAGTCTATTACTCTTACCCCCTACACAGAACTTGTAACAAAAATATTTAACACAGCGGATTTTAAATGAAATAAAACTCTGCAACGACTGCAAGGTGGGGTGTGTTTGAGTGGGCAAGGACTCTGGCATCAGCAGCATCCTGAGTGTAGTGCAAGACTCGTCTTTGGTGGTGAGAGAAAAGAGGCAATAGAAGCTAAGCCCATCACTAGTGGTACTAAATTGAGTCTTCTCTGCCTATGGACACTGCTGGCCTCAAACTCTGCCAAAGAATTGGCTCCTCCCTGGAAAGAGGTGGTTTTTAGGGCTGGAAATCATCCTTTTCTAGCAACAGAACTGTTGCAGATGGTGAGGAATTCCCAGTGTTAGCTAAAGGACATGATGGCCAAGAGGGAGACATGGGACAGGTTAATAAAGTTTTTCAGAGGTTGAATTTTTGCTGCTGCAACAGGACAGTTGTAGTTCATGCAAGTGTGGACAGGCTTTTGCAGAGGGAGAAAGGAAGCAAGAACAAGGAAGAGTGGAAGCTGTCTGTGATGCTGGCTGTTTTCCTAAGAAGCTGTCCTTGTTGGGACAACACAAAATCATTCTGGGATCATGGCAGGGTTTTCCCAGTGCTGACTTCAACTTCAGAGATGGCTTACCCTTCCCAGCTACAGCTGAAGAGGGCAGCCCCTTGTAACAGAAAACGACTGCACTCGCAGCTGCCAAGCAGATGAAAGGGAGGGCAGTTCCTGGTACTGCTGCCTGCATTTTCCTGGCATCTAGGGGAAAAACAGAGTGCAGAGTCAGCTTTTTTGCCTGGCCCTGGCTGAGGTAGGTTAGGGGAAGAGGAGAAAACCCTTCCATGTTCTGGGAAGGGTAGAGAGTGTAATTCTTGCACAAGTAAGTTGAGTGAAAGAGAAGGTTTTGATTAAAAAATGCTTGCACGCAGCCTCTGTGCTGGTTTAAGATATGGAGGGTCCACCTTGACTTTGTACATGAGCCTAGGGAAGCCTTAATTCTGTCTGGAGCTGCAATAAATGAGGCCTTTGAACCAATCAGGAAGGGAATATACAGTCAAACTGTTACAATTACACAAACTGCTTTATTTAATCTGCCCTGTCAAGGCTTGCTGTAAGAGAGTAGTGCTTGAAACTTACTTTTGACTCCCTTGGGTGACACCCATGGCACTGAGTTGCAAGATGTCATGCTGTGGCTTTGGACACAGGGTCCTTCCTTCTGCACCTCCCCTGAATCACAGGACTAGGAGGCTGGTGGACAGGGTGCAAGGCTGCAGCTGGAGGGTTTGGCCAGTGTGGGCTGCCATGGAGAGGAGAAGCCCCAGGCTGAGCTGCTCCTGCTCTCTAGCCTTCTGTGGTATTAGTGGTCTGCTCACTGCTCAGTCCAGTTTCTGCACAGCAATTTAGGTGTCCCGCACCTTTGCTGGTGTAGGAGATGAGTTTCTCCAGAGCTCTGCTTCCCTCTGGTGGGCGAGCACTCCTGCTGCTGCCTGGGATGGTGTCTTCACTGCTACGGGCAAGCAGGATCTTGCCACAGAGACGTGTCGCTGATACCACTAATTCCTTGCTATGGGAGATAAGTGAGCAGTGTGAAGGGGTGCTGGGAGAGCAGGGCCAGAACTGCACTGCTGCCATTGCAAGCTCATCAGCCTGTGGCTTTTACTGGCACCACTGAGCAGAGCCTCCACCTTGGGCTGTCAGCAGACACGTGTTTGTACTTTTTCTTTAATCCAGAATCTATGTACACTTGGCTCCTTCCCTCTGCTGGCTCTCAGAGTTCACCCCTTTAAACCCTCACTGTGTGGTCCACCAGGGATAACCGTGCTTTAGGAGGGCTGCTGTCCTGCCAGGCATGGAGGGCTGGAGCTACAACACCTAACAATGACAAAAGGCTGGAAGAACACCCAGGCATTTCTCCCACATCGGAGCTGCAGCCATGCAGCTGTGCAGAGCTGAGAGGCTGTGATGCAGGCAGCAGCACAAGGACAGAAGGTCAGGCACTCACTGCCACCTTCTGGGGTTTGGCTGCAGGGTGCTGATGGCTGGAGGTGACACCAACCCAGGGCTCCCAGGCAGATTTCAGAAACAGAGAAACAGATTTGGGGCTCTCTGTCACTCAGCAGGCTTGGCCTACACCTGGTTGATGCAGCTTAGAAACATAAGGATGCTTCTCTAAGTGATAGAGTAGTTTATTTTTTTCAGAAGGTGAGGGGGAGAAGACAGAGGGCTTCTTGTGTCACCCCTGCAGCAGGGATGACACACACACACACACATGCAGTCAGGGAGGGGCAGAGCCTGCAGGGCCCCAGCCAGCAGGGCCCCGAGGGGCTGCATTTGAAAGCCACAAAATGTAACAGAGCAGGGGGGTCACTGTGGTGGTAGCAGCAGAGATAAAAAAAACAGGGAGGGAGTTCCAGGGCGGGTTGCTGAGCTGAAGAAGAGATGCCCCAAGAGGAACACCACTGCTTCCTGGAGGTGGGCACCCAGGTTCCTTTTCCCCCAAGGAGGACCTGGAGAAGACAGGCCCAGCCTGACGCCTCCTCTTTGGAGATGCCAACGAACAGAAGCAGAGACAGAAGGACATGCAAGGCTGCAAACCTCATGTGTACCCCACCTCAGGGCAGCCCTTGAGGCAAGCCTTCCCCAGCAGGCAGTGTGTGTGCCTGTGCCACCTGGGGCCACAAGTGCCAGGGAAGCAGCCCAGGGCCCAGCTCCCTGGGAGAAGGGCAGCCTGCCTAGCCCACCAGCTTGTTCCAAGGGACTGTGCTGAAGAAGGAGTGAGACTTCAGCTTTGTTATGCCACCTCCTCCAGAGCCCAAGCGTCGTTTTGGATTGTACTGCAGAAGCTGCAGAGAAAAGCAATGGGAGACAGGGAGATGGGGACACTGGAAATGGTACCCAGGCTGGACCCTGCCTTTCCCCAACCTCTAGTCCTGCTCTCCCTCCCATCCACTCAAGCCCCTCACCTCAGTGAGCAGTGATGTAGCAGCCAGGCTGAGGCCCTCTGGCAGATGCAGCTGGGTGTGAGGCTGAATCCCTGATGGATGGTTTTGGGAGAGTGGCTACGGGAGGCAGAGGGTGATGTTAAGCAGAGGCAGCAAGGAGGGTTGGACCACCCTGTTGAGTCTTCATTGCCACATAACCCCAGCCCTACACAGCAGCATTTAAAAGTCAGGGCCCTTGACACCCAGAGACCACACACAGGCACTGGGAATTACATGTCTAAAGGAACCTGGCCAAGAACTGAGGTGCCAGCAGGGCAAGGAACCCTCCCAGCCTACACAGCAGGCAGCCCTTGACCCTCCTCCTCCCCTGTCCTCTTTGCACAGCTCCTCAGCCTCTTACCACTCCTGTCAGCAACTCATACAAGAGGGAGCCAAAGCTCCAGCAGTCAGCTGCTTCAGTGGGTTCCATGATCCCCCCCACTTCTGCAAAAGAGACAGAGAGCAGTCAGAGCTGGAGGCAGGGAGCACCAGTGACTACACTGTGCTGGACACATCTCACTGCCTGCAGAAGCTCCCTCTGTCCAATTGGAGCCACTGGGCAGAGAGCGGAGAAGCCAGGGGACACATCCCTTACCTGGAGCACTGTACAGCTCTTCCCGTGCCTGGCTGCAGTACTGGGGCTCCACCTCTGTCCACTGGCCAAAGAAGGTGAGACGGACATGGCCTGCAGAGCAGCACCAGAGTCAAAAGCAGGAAGGTTAGGAAAGACTGGGGACTTTGGTCATAGCACAAAGCCAAATCATATCCCTGCCACTGGGAGCAGCCAGGGTGCTGGGCCCCTGTCATGCCCTGAACACAGGAACTGAGCATCCCCTGGCACCACACACCCCTCCACTGGCCTCCCAGTGCTTGCCTGAGGTGCCCAACAGGTGAGACTGATTAGGTAGGCTCCAAGCTCACAGATCTCAGTGCAGGCTGTGGTCAGGAAAGAAATAGCTTTTAAAGGGGAAGTGGGGGAGAAGGTTAGCTTTCTCCTTGCAAGACTCTCTGCGTTTTTCTTTTTAAGCAATTTGTAGCTCTCCAATTTGTCCCAGATGTTGGCAGCTGAGCAGGGACTTGCACTGACAGCAATACCCATGGCTCAGAGGGATGGGATGGCTCCAGAACACCCCCAGCAGGCAGTTACTGTAAGCAGGGGAAAACTAACCCACTAGTCCCACTAACGTCAGGCACAGTTCAGCTGGTCTCAGCTTCCCCAGGCTGGGATTTCCAAGGCAGCCAACCCCCACATGGGAGCAGGGGCAATGCATTTCTGTGGCTATGGCCCTTGACTCTCCTGCTGCAGAACCATCTCTTGTAATAATTACTTGGAAAACCTAAGTGAGATCACACTTCCAATTTCAGAAATACCAAACCTTCCCAGACTCCCACTCTCCCCCAAAGCAAACACAACAAAGTCCACATCTTCTGGAAATGGGGCAAGCAGCAGTCTCCCAGCTGGGAGACCAATTCCCTTCTCCTTGGGGCAGCAGCATGGGGCATTACCTACCAGCTGTATCAAGCAGCAGGTTCCTGGGGTTGAGGTCCCGGCACAAGATACCCTGTTGGTGAAGTCCCTCTAAAGCCAGGAGGATTTCTGCTGCCCACAGCTGCACCTGCTCTTCCTTTACAGCCCATGCTCTCCGGTTGTGCCCTTGGGAAGCCAAAGCCCTGCACTGTCCTGATGGTGGCTGTTTGCTGAGCGAGCCACAGGTCAGGCTTGCTCCCCAAGAAGGCTCCCACACGGCTGGGTCAGGCACACTGGGTTTGCCAGAGCTGGACAGGGCAACTCCTGCAGGAAGCTGCCTCTCACCCAGGGCCAGGAGGGGCTGAGTGTGGGAGGCCTCAGATACTTTCTGAGTTGGCAGCTGCCCTGCCCCTGGCTGGCCCCCTCTCACAGTCTTTGGTAGAGGGACAAGCCCCTGGGGAAGCCTGGGGCCTTGTTGGGAGGCTGTTCTCTCAGATATGCAGCCTGTGCCGCTGGTTAGATCATTCCATGGGTAGACAATCAAGCCCTGGCTGGCAAGGTGGCCAGGACATTTGGCTAATGCTGCTGGAAAATGGTCCACAGCACCAGACACAGTCTGTGTCACACTCAGATCCTGTCCTCCAGGTGCAGCCCCACTGCCACCAGCAGGAGCCAGGAGAAGCTGGCAGTGGTTCCCTGAGGCAGAGTCTGTGGGGCCAGGGGACTGCTCCTGAGGGAGTGAGGCATCAGTGTTTCCCAATAGTTGGTAGTTCACAGAGCCTGGGAGGCCACTGCCCATCCAAACAGGGAGTATGGATACTTGGCTGCCACCCTGGGAGTTTCCCACACCATCCTCTGTGCCATGGTCCTGGAGGGTTTGAATGGTGTTTGAATCGGCACAGTCCTGCTGGACACAGTACTTGGAGCGGAGGTGAGACCACAGTGTCCCCCCTGGAAAGCAGAAAGAAGAACAATTGATGAGGCAGAAAGTATCCCTGGTTCCCCCACTGCCAACACAGCCCATTCAGGTCCAGGCCAAGGCCCACACAGTGGGGTCGTGATTGAGCATCATTGATCTCTCCAGCAGCAAAGCTCAAGTCCATGCAGAATGCACCCCCCCTACAAGCACACCATGCCCAATGCCACACCTTCCATAGCACCTGGCACACCTAAGTCCCTTTCCCTCCTCCTTTAGAAGCCCTCTCCCCATTCTACACAGTCTCTTTGATTCCACCTCTGCCACTTCCATGTTACAGACAAGCCACATATGCACAAATGCTCCTGATCCCACTGCCATCCCCACTTCCCCCTGAAAGCCTTTCCTTCCTGTGTGACAGAAATGCCAGAGAGCTCCCACAGGATGGCACAAGGCCATGGGTCAGCAAGGAGCCAGAGCAGCAAACCCTGGAGCCCACAGCACGTTGGCAGGGCTTCCCAGCCTCACTACATTCAGTGCTGGCTTCTTTCTCTAAACTCATCCTGTACCAATGCACAAGGAGTTGAGCCCGTTCTCCAACACATGTCAGCCTCCATTTGCATACTGGACACCAGCTGCTGCTCTCTACACATCCATTCAACCAGCAGGGAGTAAATAAGCTCCATGGGACAAGCCTCCACCTTCTTCAGATCTTCACCAAGATGTGGGACAACCTCAAACCTCTAATGAACACAAACCCCAGTATGCTCACTGCCCCTTATGCCCTAATTTTCCATTTCCTCTCTTTGGTATGACCTCAAAATCCAGTGTGACCTTTTATAAAAAAAAAAAAAAAAAAAAAAAAAAAGAAGAAAAGTTTTATAAACATCTTGTAAAAAGAGCGTTTTGTTCTACAACATTCAGGTGAACTACCTCACTTCATTTTCCTTCTCCATCACCTTCCTCTTATGGTCAGACAATGCCAGTAAAATGAAGAGGTTTTTCTTTTCAAGATGCTGAATCACATCAACTTCATTACCTAAAGGCATGACGGCTCCCTCCCCTGAGGTCCAGAGGCTCATCTCTCTAAAGAATAAGGCTGGTTTCCATTTAACACACCCACACACACAACCTCTTTTTCCTTGTAGGTCTACATGGGCCCATTTCTAGGTTACATCCCCAGTCAGTTCTTATCAAACCTCTGCAATTCACAGCTGAACAGCTCTGTTCACTAAGTCTCCAGGCCCTGGTACCCACCACCCTTCTATGAAGTAGACAGCTTACACGATCACTAAAAAACAGTCCCAAAACAGGAGGGGAAATATACTTTGGATTTTAAAGAAAGGACAGTTCAAGATAAACCAGGATGTTTCACAGATGGGAGGCAAGGCTGTCCTCACTCACCCTGCACATGCTCTAGATGGAGGAAGATGGAGTCCTCACTCACAGAGTAGCACAACAGCTTGACCATGAAGGGGACCCCATGAGGGATGATGGTCTGTCGCTCACGGGTCTCAACGTGGGATTTGGGGAGGCTCTGAGGAGGTACAGGGAGATGGGTGGTACAGCACAGCAAGGACTTGGACTCTGTGCAGCCTAGCAGCTGGCAGGGCTGGAGGCCAGGCAGAAGGGAGCGTGCCTTCTGCCAAGCCCCCATGGCTGCTCCCAGGTCACCCATGATGGAGCTCCCCCATCTGCACAAAGGTACGGCTCACACAGCTCTGTCAGTCCCCAGCACCCAGCTGTGATAAGGCAGCGCTCTGCAAAGCTCTGCCAAGGGAGCTGGCAGTGGCACTCCCCATCTGCACTGTGGGACGCAGAGGGCACAGCTGCTCCAGAGCACTGACTCCTCTGCAACCACCCTGCTCCCTTCAGGGAGGAACCTGCCATCCCAAACCTTTCTCCTCCTCCCCTGGAAACGATGCTTCTCCCTCTCATGGCAGATCCTCTTTGTCCAGTTAATGAAGTACTTCATTGTTAGTTCCAAGGGCACTGAAAAATACTCAAGGACTTGTACTGAGCACACCTCACAACCTGTTTCAGGGGTTGACCCAGTTTAGGACAGGCTCGAAGTGTTACAAGTCAGAAACGGATGACCAAGGGGAACCACTTCCCTTCTGATCACAAAGGATGGCTGAGGCAGCCAAAAGATTTTTGAACCATCAACTTCGTCCAGCCTCTGAGTGCTGCTATTTTTCATCCTCTCACCTGCCCCAGCCATCAGCTCGGACAAGGTGGCCCCAGCCTGAGAGGGAGAAGCAGGCAGATGAAACTGAAAACACCCACCTTGAGTATAAAGGTCTCACCAGTGGCTGGATCCTGGACAATCTGCACCTGGGAGAGGATACACAGTACTGGTCAGAAGGGGTGACCCAACACACAGCCTATAGGAATGACCCAAGGGTCTCAACTCTGGAGCTGAAACAAATCCCACCCAACTGGAAGAGTTTTGTGAGGCTCAGACCCCTACTTTTGAAAGATGAAACACAGGTTATTGGCAAGGAGATAGCCATGCGGCCAAGAAGCAGGAAATTAATTAAATCAAGAGGTGGCTCCCATGCCAGTTTTACTTCCTTCACACTGAAGGGTTTCACAGTGCTCTTTTTGGGCTCAAACCTGGGCCTTGGCAGGACAGGAGGATCACATCAGTCCTGAAAAACTGAGACGTGTGAGCAGCAGTGGTGAGCAATGTGCCATGTGTGTGTGGCTACAGTAAGCCTGGCATCTTCTCTCCAAAATAATGAACTTCTAATTAGTTTATTCATCCAGACAGTTCAACCTATGCTGAAGTCTAGATTATCCACAGGAGTCCACCATTGTGGCACCTGGGCATCAAATACAATTCCATATGTGGGAAAGAATGAGGTGCATAAAGCTCCCTGTAAATATCTTGGGAGGTCTGGTAAGCAAAAGTAATGGGGATGTTAACAGATTTCCCAATTAATTCCTTAAGGGGTCTCGAGTCCTCTCCTATGAATTTTTCTGGGTGGGAGTGGTGTGGTTGCATACCCCAGCATTGCTTGATGGAGGTGCTGTGGGCTGGCACCCCCATTCCAGCTGCTAGGACCCTCCATCTTAGGCTCCCTTTGGTCCAGCCCCAGCCTCACTCCCCGTCTCCAGGCCAAGTCATTACCTTATCAATCACTCCCACAACCTTACACCGTCTCAGGTTCTCCACTGCTGAGCTCAGTGTCCTGATGGGCCGGAAGCGCAGGCTGCTGTAGCCCTGTGAGATGGTAAGAGAAGAGGATGTAGGACCTAGAAATGCTGTTGTTCATTATAGTGGGTGAAAAAAGCCCCTGCATTTTCCAGAGGAGGCAGCAATACTGCCCAGCTAGTCAACATGCAAAGAAAACACTCCAATGGCCATGATTAATTTCTAACATCAGCTGGACCATTTTTCTTGGCTAACTCCTGGATTTCAATATTTTCTAGGGGAAAGCTTGCACTTGCAGCAGAGGTAAAAATCACACCAAAATTTGAAGCTAGACCTGGACTGTTTCAACATTAAGGGGATCTGCGTGGAAGGTAGTTGTCTTTCTTCCCGCATTCTTCCCACTAGGCTCTGACCTTGCCCTGCCTCACTCCCCTCTCCCTTCTTTAACCACCTCCTTCCCACAATGCAGAAAGCAGCCATTGTCTTTGGTTTCCATACAGATGGAAATGATGACAGATAGGAAGAGGACATTTCTAACATTTGAGAGGTGGTTCCCTGCAGTGGCTTTGGTCTCCACAAAAATGTCCATACCCACTAGGGTGGCAGCAAGTTAAGCATACACACTTTGGAGGGCGGGGTCCTGGAAGCACCCTAGGCAGCCTGGGCCCACCTCGGCTCCTTGACCCAGGCAGGGCGAAGAGCTGCCAGCTCCTTTGGAGCCACTGGCAGGCCAGGACCCTCGGCAGCTCGATGTGCCTGCCGTTTTCTCTACACACCTTAGCGTGGTATCTGGCAGAGGCAGACAAGGAGGACCGCTGGGGCTGCTTTATCTGCGTGTGCACACCCCCACCCCCGTTCCCCAGTGTCACAGAACTGCTGCCATCCCACCCGTGCGGCCCCACGCCAGCCCCTCACCGTGGCACTGCTGTTGCCACCCCCCGCCGCCCGCTGCAGGTGGCAATTGAAGATTTCCTCGGCTCGCCGCAGGTACTGCGTGATCTTCCGCTTCACGGCCTCCCGACGCTCCTTGTTGGGGTCAACTGCGGCCGGAGCAAAGGGTGGGTGTGAGGGGCCAGGCCACGGTCCCCAGGGGAGGCCCCAGCCCTCTCGCCCTTCTTCCGACAGGGATGCACTCCCTGGACGGATGCCCCTGTGCCCTCAACAAACTCCCCAGCGGGATTTCCCCGACCCCTTGTCATTCTCCCTGCAGGGATACCTTGGCCCCCCACGGGACTCCCGGTATGAATGCCCCGATCCCCCGGCTGGTGTCCCCGGAGGGATGGCCCGGCCCGCTGCCCCCGGGCGGGCGCACACACCCTGCACGCCGCGGAGCAGCACGTCCACGCCGTTCTGGTAGTGGTTGAAGGCCTCCTCGTAGTCCTCGCTGACGTCCCGCTCCAGCGCCAGCCGCAGCTGCCGCGCCGCCTCCACCAGGTAGTCCCGGCGCCCGCCGCCCTCGGGCCCCGCCGGGCCCACGCGGCCCCGCAGCTGCCCCAGGTAGACGCGGGCCTGCGCCAGGGCCCGGGAGCAGGGCTCGGCCTCCGCCCGGCTCATGGCCCCGCGCCGCCGGGACACCGCGACACCGGGACACCGGGAGCGGGGCTGCGCGCTCAGCCGGGGAGCCACGCACGCCCTGGCCCCGCCGCTGGCCGGCACGGCCCCCCCGGCACCGCCCCCGGGCCCGCCACCCCCGCGGTGCCGCGCCCGGGCAGCGCCGCCGCCAGCATCCCCCCGCGGCGCCGGGCGGAGCGGCGGGGGCGCGGCAGGGGCGGGCGGTGCTGATTGGCCGCGGATGAGATCATCATTGTCATCATCATTATCATCATTATCATCATCATCATCATCATCATCATCATCATCATCATCATCATCATCATCACCCCCCGCGGGATCCGTGCCCGGGTCCCCCCCGCCCGGGTCCCGCTCCCGCCCGAGGCAGGCGCTGCACCTCTCGGCGGAGAGCGCCGTCGCTCCTTTTGCTTTATTATCATTCTTATTCACCATTAATTGCCCTTAATTAACCAAGCTCCCGTTCATTAAATTGTGCTTTTGCCACCGTGTTTCCTTTCCTCCCATAACGCGTAATTACCTGTGTTTTAATTAGCCTTTGTCTTTGCCTCCACCCGACAGGTGCGCCCATTCCAGCAGCTCCCCTCTGCCACAGTTAACATGGTGGGCGTCTTGCCAGTGCATCATGGCCAGCCCAGGGTACCCCTGGCTCTTCCCAATTTGCTCATTCAAGTGGGTGCCATTGGCCCAGACACTGAGCTCTCAACCAGCCCTTCTACCAGCTCTTGCAGACTCTTTGGGTTTTACCAACTTATTCCAAATGTACAGGACAGGGAACATCAGCACAAATGCATTAAGGTGCAGCAAAGTGACAGTGTAATTGAGATCCCAGCTGGTGGTTAATGAATGCTTTGTATGTGTCTTTAGCTTATGCTAGAAACATGTATTCCTGCCCTCCTGGCCTGGCTTTTTCTTGGAAGGCCAGGAGGCCTTGCAGGGCCTGCTAGATCACTGCAGTTATTAGTGAAGGAGATTTGCTGAACCAGGAGTGCTCAAGTGGTTTCTACCAACTGGCCAACTGGTTTGCTGTGTCTGTGGAATGGTTGGTCCCAGATTAAATGACTCCCTTACCACTGGCATGGCAGGGGGCCTGCAAAAGGAGAAGGGCTGAAATGAAAGCTAAGGGATACCCTTGAAAAAACTGTGCTAAGATTGTACCGGAAGAGGGAGGCCCCTGCATCTTTGTCCATCCCTTGCTAACCTATGCACATGTCCCACTACAACAGGAAATTATCCTAAGATGGGGTTTTTTATTTTGTCAGGAGCTGGCCCTGTGCTGTGCCATCACAGCCACACCAGCCTGGTCAGTCACTGTGTTCAGCCCCTGGTGGATCTGGTACTTGCTGTGGCACTGGCAGGAGGCACACCACACCCGTTTGTGGCTGACCTGTGGCTGCTTCATGCCCTGCACACACTTGTAGGGGCTCCCTGGGCTCAAGTGCCCTGGGCAGCTCCTTTGCCTGTTAACAACAGGACAGGACAGTAAAGCCTGTGCCCACAGCTCGGCTCAGCATCCAGCAACCAAACACTGTCTCTCTTACAAAGACCATTTCCTTGGCAGTATGGAAGTACTAACTGTGCCTCAGAGGCAGGTCTAGGAGGATGCAAAGCCATCTGCTTTGTAAGACAACTCACTGCCCAAACACAATCGGTGTGCTTGTTTCTTCTCAAAACACTTCCAAGTTCCTTTTCCAAGCTCTGCCTAACAGAGACCAATTTTTTCTGCCCAGCCTATTTATACCCCATGGTCTCTGTGGTCTTTTAATTCCTACCAGAGACTGGAGGCTCCTCCTTGAAGTGAAAAGTTGGAGCAGGCAAGAAGTGAAGGAGAGCCAGGGATGGGAGCAGGGGTGCTGCTGGCACAACTCACCTGCCTGGCTTCAGCAGATCTGTGTGGGCCTGGAGAAGACAGAGCACAGGAAAAACACAAAATCCAGCACAAGGTATCTGTAGAGTGGTTTGGATATTGAGGCAATGGTGGCAGGAAGATGTGTGAAGAGGAGTTGCCAGGAGGGTACAAAACTTGGTTAAGTTCTCCATCTAACGCCTCTGAAGTGGCCAGAAGAGAGTGAGCCGAAGGCATCAGCAGGAAGTGCCTCAAGGGTGCACTGTGAGGAAAAACCTTGCAAGGGAAGAAGACTTGTAGCAGCCCTGAGGCACAACTGCCTTTACCTGTGGGCTTTCAGGTTTGCATGTCAGTGCTGGACAGAGGACCTTAAATCTGGGGGATTACTTTCAGATTAACCTGTTGAAGAGCTTGTGGTCCTTGTTGGGAAGTGGGAACTGCCAAAGCAGAACCAACACAGACAAACAGCAGGGAGAGGAGTAAGAGCTGCTTTTTTTCTCACAGGCTAAAATTGACACATGACATCTAGAAAAATCTTAAAAATACACTGAGACTGCAAACATCATTGGCTTCAACAGGCAGGTTTATGCCAAATTTTGTGAGGGTGCAAAAGACTTGTAAGTCACAATCAAGAAGTTAGGACCTCAGTGTTTCTTTATTTCCATGGAGACACATGGGAGACCTGCACGGGCATGGCTGGGAGACACTGCTGGGTGGCAGTGCTCTGATGGCAGCCTATACTCAGGGAGACCAGAGGTAACCAGTCAAGTTTTAATATCAGGGCTTCGTCAGCTACAATGCTACATCTCTGGGCAAATCCCCACATCATCTTTACAGTTACTTCCCAAAAAATGTAACATTTTTTTCCTGGTGCATAAGGCTGCTTTATGTTTTGTCTCCCCAGAACTATCCTCCTAAAACATCTTACTGCAGCTCCTAAAGCCTCATTAAACAAACCTTTGCCCTGCAAGGCTGGAAGACACAGGGAGCCCAGGGACACTGATAACCCAGTGGTGTGTTGTTCCTGGGCTCTGTGGGACAGCTGCAAGGGGTACACAGGCAGGGAAAGGATGAGGGATTTGGGAGCACTGAAGCTGGAACATGTTTTCTGCCTGTCCATGGTGGGTGCTGCTGACTTTGAGGCTGGGGTATGTCAGGGTGCCTTTACAGGGACACCTACAGCCCTGCACTGTAGTGCCTGGGGGACACGGGGTTCTGTAGATGTAGCTGACCTTGTCAGAGTGCTCACACATCTGCTGTGGCCAAGGAGGGCTGCCAGGAGCCAGTGGTATAAAAAAGCTACAACTGGGACCACACAGAGGAGGGACAGGCAGACAGTGGTTGGTCCCCTTGAGAGGAAACACGGGCATTGGACAAAAGCCCTCAGGCCAGGACCCCCTGTCTCCCCCTCAGAGCAGTCCCCCACCCTGATCCTCATACTTCCATTGGCTGTGATGTCCTGCTGGAAGTCCCTGTCACCCTGGGATGAGGAGGCTCTTAAGGCTCTCCCCTCTGGCAGGGACAGGGAAAGGAGCTAGCATTTCCTTGAGCATGTGATGCCTGCAGCAGTCACAGGAACTTCATGAGCTAGGGCTCATTAGGTTCCTGACAGCTGGAGGTGCAGCTCCCAAACCTCTTGTAAGTGATGTTTCCCCTTGCTCCTGTCCTGCCCCAACTATTCTGCTCATCGTGGCTGCAGTGGGACAGCCACATCCCTCCCAGCACCCACATTCTTGCTATCCAACACCCCATGCCACGGGAGGAGCAAGGGACAAGGCCACACACAGCACCCAGGTGGCTCAGGTGATGGAGGGAGGGAAGCAACACAGGTGTCTGTACAAGGCAGGTGCCTGCCCCTGCCATGTCTGATGGGCAGAGCTGCCTGGAATATTTCAGTGCCAAGCAGTGGCCAAAGAGGTGACTCCAGACACCAGGAACTGCTTGGAAAAGCCACTGCGTGTTTGTGTGTTTGAATTTGTTTTAATCCTAATCATGAGTCTTGATAAACTTATTTTTATTAATTAACATACTTGATTTATGTAACTTCCTTTTTTAAACATGTAATACTACTGGGGTATTAAAGACAATACAGAAACCATCACATACATCCTCAAGTGCACATAGTTCTCCTTGGCCTCAGAGCAAAACCAGCCAGGCAGAAATGACACACAGTGAAAGGGAAAGCTGTGTAGACCAGGCCACCACATGGTCCACACAGACTTTGAGTGATATGGGAAGGGGAGCAGCGAGTTCCCCTCATCTATGAGGTAGTGAAGGAGGAACTTCATGGGCTATTTTTGAGGCAAAGCCCATGTAGGCAGTGCCCCAGGATACTGTGGATGCCTGGAAATGGGATCCAAAAGGGATCCAGTAAGATCCTGACTGATATGCCCAGCTGCACCATTACAACTTACACGGTCCACCCCTGCATGGTGGCAGTATGCAGGTTCTCATTACCTCAACATCACCTCCAGCTTTCCCTGACAGGGATCTGCACTGTCCCCATGTCCTTGTGCCAGCCTCAGGCAACAGCAGCATTATGGCTTAGAGAGTCATAATGTAACCCCCGTCACAGGCAGCCCTGTCAGATGCGGGAAGGAGCCACCTTGGGCCCCAATTCTTGCTGTGTTGGGCTCCACCCTCTGTTCCTCAGAGCAGGACAAACCACAGGTCCCATAATTTAAGGGTAACCTTGAAACCTTTGCAGATCTCGCCCTTCAGTCTTTTTTTTTTTTTTTTAAGCTTTCAAGAATGACCCTTGATTTTTTTTTTTTTTAACCCAGTGCCAGGAGTGCCCCACAAATCTGCAAGTGCCAACTCACCCCTAGGGATTTCAGGTATATGCACTGCTCCAAGACACGTCTTGCACAGATCAGCGTGGGATGCATTTGGCAGACAGCCCCAGACCCACTGCAGCAGGGGTGGAAATGGGGACAGGGAGAGCCTCAGGGGAACTGCTTAAAGCATGGAAAACCAGGGGCTGTGACTTCCCCGTAGACCTGGGCAGAGAGCTGGCTGAGTGGGGAACACAGGAAACAGTCCCCACAGTCACCTTGATGAGGGCCCCCAGCTCCTTATACCCTAAAGGTATTCCCAGTAAGGAAAGGAGGCCCCAAGCCAGCCTGTCCCCATGTCAGGTAAATGACCCATGGTGGGGTATTTCCTGAGTGGGCAGCCTGCCCCCCAGTGCCCTAAACTTTGCATCAGCCCTGCCAGGGGGGACAGGACACCAAGACAGACATTTGGACTGGGGTGAGAACAGGATGGGCACAGTGAACAGGGAAAGGTACCAGTCCCACACTGTGGTGTGGAGGGGAAGGGCAGCTCACCCAAGGGACTCCCAGTACCCAATAGGGAGAATTCCAGCACACAGATAGCCCCCAGGCCAGGGAACAACCTGCTGGTTGCCCATCTCCAGCATCACACCAAAGGCAGTCCCTTGATGCGGCAGGATTGGTGATGGGTCACTGCCCTACTCCAGCCTCAGTGGGTGCCCATGGGGAAGTTCCCGGTGCTTGTTGGAAAGCGGACAGGAGCTGCCAGCTCCCATGTCTGACTAGCTTTTATTGAGCAGGGCAAAGCTGAGATGT